CCATCCGCTGGCCACGGCCAATGAGCGCCGCCACCGGTTGTCCCCACCTCCCTGGACCTCCTGAAAAAGGCGGCCCGGGGAAAGTCCGGGCAGAGCCCGAGCAGCGGCCAGGGCAGCGCTGGCTTGTGGACCCGTACTTCCCACCCGAGACCTCTCACTGAGCCCGAGCCGCGCGCGACATGAGCCACGGGAAGGGAACCGACATGCTCCCGGAGATCGCCGCCGCCGTAGGCTTCCTCTCCAGCCTCCTGAGGACCCGGGGCTGCGTGAGCGAGCAGCGGCTTAAGGTCTTCAGCGGGGCGCTCCAGGAGGCACTCACAGGTGAGCGCGTGCCGAGGGGCCTGACGCCACCGGGGGTCGGCCCCCTTCCTGCCAGGGCCGTCTTTCCTTTACTTCTGCGGCAGGGTCACCCACAGGAGCAGCTCTGGGACTCGGTGGCCCTCCTCCGACCCCCGGGGCGGCCCGCAGTCCCTAGTTTCCTGGGTCCTCCTCCCCAGCCCTGTGCTCGGGTCTCGGCCCGTGGCTGTTCTGATGGGGCGCGCCCCTCCACGCTCTCGGAGGCGCAAACCCTGGTCCTGGAGTGCCAGCCCGAGTCCCCAGCTTATGCCCCGGTCTCATTACGGGCTCGTCTCCCTCGCTGGACCCTCGAGATCTTAAGGCCCTCGATGGATGTTGTTGCGGGCCGCCCGGTCGGCCGAGGGGTCCTGATGAGGGAAGAAGGTGCAGTCGAGCCTTTTCAACGACTCAGAGTCCCAGTGCCGTTCTTCCTGCCGGTCGGGGTGCGCTGTGCCTGGGGCAGTCCACTGGCTGCTGACTCGCTTCAAGTTGGAATTTGGGCCCCCTTTGTGTTCTCTTTGGTTCCCCTTAGCCATCTGCCACCTATTGTGGTAGGGAGGAGAGCCTGGTAGCTGGTGACCCTGCCCTGCTGGCCTTCGAGTGGGGAGGTGAAGAGATAAGCAGCCCGCTCGCTGGCTGGGGAGAGACCTCTCTCCCAGCTGTTTCTAGCTGGTTGCTGTCAGTTTGGGGAAGCGATAGCCATCTCGGAACGCACCCACACAGACCCTGCCTTCTGAGAAAAACAGATGTTTCATCAAAACAACCCAGTTTTCACTCCCTTGGGCACTGCTAAGGAAGGTTCCCTGACTCTTCTGAAGGAAGCAGAGGGAACACAGGGTGGGAGGCCCAATTACTTGCTGTGGACCCAACAATGTTGGCAGCCTTCCTGGCCCTGAAACTTCAGCTCACAGGTCTCCAGAGGCCCTGCCTGGACATGCCAGCCCCAGTCACACCCTTCCCTCCTGAAACTGGGGGTGTGCCAAAAGCAATACACTGGCCACTGGAGAGTACCCCAGAGCTCTGGAATCCCCTCCCAACATACGCGCGCACACACACGTTCTGGAAGCAGGAAAGCAGATCTCTCCCGCTTCCATAAAATTTTCTCTGCTAAGTGGCAAGAGGGTCCTGGAACTCAGAGGAATCCACCTCCCTTACTTAAAGGGCCCCTTCCTCTCCTGTTCCTTGACCCTCCTCCCTGCTCTGTGGTAGTATCCATGGCCCAGCTGCTCTAACCAGGGCATCTCCCCCCGTCCTGTCTCCACAGAGCACTACAAACACCACTGGTTTCCTGAAAAGCCGTCCAAGGGCTCCGGCTACCGCTGCATTCGCATCAACCACAAGATGGACCCCATCATCAGCAGGGTGGCCAGCCAGATCGGACTCAGCCAGCCCCAGCTGCACCAGCTGCTGCCCAGCGAGCTGACCCTGTGGGTGGACCCCTATGAGGTGTCCTATCGCATTGGGGAGGACGGCTCCATCTGCGTCTTGTACGAGGAGGCCCCAGTGGCCGCCTCCTGTGGGCTCCTCACCTGCAAGAACCAAGTGCTGCTGGGCCGGAGCAGCCCCTCCAAGAACTACGTGATGGCGGTCTCCAGCTAGACCCGTCCGCCCCCGCCCTGGGCGCCGCCGTGCTCATGCTGCCGTGACAACAGGCCACCACATACCTCAACCTGGGGAACTGTATTTTTAAATGAAGAGCTATTTATATATATATTATTTTTTTTTTAAGAAAAGAGGAGGAAAAAAAAACCAAAAGATTTTTTTTAAGAAAAAAAATCCTTCAAGGGAGCTGCTTGGAAGTGGCCTCCCCAGGTGCCTTTGGAGAGAACTGTTGTGTGTGCTTGAGTCTGTGAGCCAGTGTCTGCCTATAGGAGGGGGAGCTGTTAGGGGGTAGACCTAGCCAAGGTGAAGTGGGAGACGTTTGGCTAGCGCCCCAGGAAGATGGGAGAGGGAGCGAGCAAGATTAGCAACTGTGAACAGAGAGGTTGGGATTTGCCCTGGGGGAGAAAGAGAGGCCAAGTTCAGAACTCTCTGTCTCCCCCAGCCAGACACCTGCATCCCTGGCTCCTCTATTACTCAGGGGCATTCATGCCTGGACTTAAATAATACTATGTTATCTTTTTCTTTTTCTTTTTCTTTTTAATTATACTTTATATTTCTTTTAATTTTCTAATGAGGTCCTGGGCAGAGAGTGAAAAGGCCTCTCCTGATTCCTACTGTCCTAAGCAGCTTTTCTTGAAATCATGACTTGTTTCTAATTCTACCCTCAGGGGCCTATAGATGTTGCTTTCCAGCCAGGAATCTAAAGCTTTGGGGGTTTTTGTTTTGTTTTGTTTTTTTTCTGAGGGGGGAGGAGGGAACTGGAAGTTACTGGGGTTAGGATGGAAGGGAACTCTGCACAAAACCTTTGCTTTGCTAGTGCTGCTTTGTGTGTATGTGTGGCAAATAATTTGGGGGTGATTTGCAATGGAATTTTGGGACCCAAAGAGTATCCACTGGGGATGTTTTTTGGCCAAACTCTTCTTTTTGGAACCACATGGAAGTCTTGTTGCTGCTGCCATGATCCCTTTGAGAGGTGGCTCAAAAGCTACAGGGAACTCCAGGTCCTCTATTACTGCCTTCTTTTCAAAAGCACAACTCTCCTCTCACCCTCTCCTCCCTCTTCCCTTCCGGTCGGGCCATGGAGCTACCCTATTTTCTAGGACAAGAGTTCTCAGTCACTGTGCAATATGCCCCCTGGGTCCCAGGAGGGTCTGGAGGAAAACTGGCTCTCAGAACCTCCTGATGCCCTGGTGGGCTTAGGGAACCATCTCTCCTGCTCTCCTTGGGATGATGGCTGGCTGGTCAGCCTTGCATGTATTCCTTGGCTGAATGGGAGAGTGCCCCATGTTCTGCAAGACTACTTGGTATTCTTGCAGGGCCGACACTAAATAAAAGCCAAACCTTGGGCACTGTTTTTTCTCCCTGGTGCTCAGAGCATCTGTGGGAAAGGTTGCTGTCTCTCTCAGTACAATCCAAATTTGTCGTAGACTTGTGCAATATTTACTGTTGTGGGTTGGAGAAAAGTGGAAAGCTACACTGGGAAGAAACTCCCTTCCTTCAATTTCTCAGTGACATGGATGAGGGGTCCTCAAAAGACCTCAAGTTTCCCAAACCGAATCACCTGAAGAAGGACAGGGCTAGGGCATTTGGCCAGGATGGCCACCCTCCTGCTGTTGCCCCTTAGTGAGGAATCTTCCCCCACTTCCTCTACCCCCAGGTTCCCCTCCCCACAGCCAGTCCCCTTTCCTGGATTTCTTAACTGCTCAATTTTGACTCAAAGGTGCTATTTACCAAACACTCTCCCTACCCATTCCTGCCAGCTCTGCCTCCTTTTCAACTCTCCACATTTTGTATTGCCTTCCCAGACCCTGCTTCCAGTCTTTATTGCTTTAAAGTTCACTTTGGGCCCACAGACCCAAGAGCTAATTTTCTGGCTTGTGGGTTGAAACAAAGCTGTGAATCACTGCAGGCTGTGTTCTTGCATCTTGTCTGCAAACAGGTCCCTGCCTTTTTAGAAGCAGCCCCATGGTCTCATGCTTAATCTTGTCTCTCTTCTCTTCTTGATGATGTTCACTTTAAAAACAATGAAACCCCCGAGCTGGACTGTTGAGCAGGCCTGTCTCTCCTATTAAGTAAAAATAAATAATAGTAGTATGTTTGTAAGCTATTCTGACAGAAAAGACAAAGGTTACTAATTGTATGATAGTGTTTTTATATGGAAGAATGTACAGCTTATGGACAAATGTACACCTTTTTGTTACTTTAATAAAAATGTAGCAGGATAAACTTGTGTGGTGTAGAGAAGATAAAATTCTCACATTGTACATTTGCGTTTCCCTTTCAGATCCAAATCCTTTCTTTGCGTTTAATAGTATTTCTCCTCAGTTGCACTCAATCTACAGCATGTGGGTGGCATAAAAGAAAAATCTGGTTGTATGGCTGGGCCATTTCCAAGCATCCCCTCTTCCCTGGAAAGTAGCTCGTTACTTCCCTGTTTTTTTTTTTTTTTTTTTTTCTCGTGTGTGTGTGTGTGTGTGTGTGTGTGTGTGTGTGTGTTTATTTTTTGTTTTTGTTTTGTTTTTGAGACAGGGTCTCGTTCTGTCGCTCAGGCTGGAGTGCAGTGGTGCAATCTCAGCTCATTGCAACCTCTGCCTCCTGGGCTCAGATAATTCTCCCACCTCTGCTTCTTGAGTAGCTGAGACTGCAGGCATGTGCCACCACACCTGGCTGATTTTTGTAATTTTTGTAGGGACGGGGTTTTGCCATGTTGCCCAGGCTGGTCTCAAACTCCTGAGCTCAAGTGGTCCCCCTGCCTTCGCCTCCCAAAGTGCTGGGATTACAGGCATGAGCCACCATGCCCAGCCTACTTCCACCTTTAATGAGGATTCTAATTTCCCTGTGAAGATGCTAGAAGTAACAGGGTTCTAGTCTGAACATTCCCTAGTCTAGTCAGATCTCCATCTTATGCATCTTGTTTTTTTGTTTTTGATAGTCCTTCATTTCATTCATTCATTCAGTCATTCATTCATTTAGCAAGCATGTATTGTCAGTAAGTGCTAGGCACTGAACATATTAAAAATGATTAAGACAGAGCCTGTCTCAATAATCAGGGTTTGGTAAGCAGCAGGTAATGAACTCCTTCCCAGGCTAAGGCAGGATTGTTGGCAATTCCCAGTAAAGGTGCTCTTGTCATCTCTGGGGCTGCCATTTGCTACCCACCATACTTGTCTTGTTAGACAACAGCAGCTAGTCCTCAGGATCTATGCACTGGAGCTGAATGCCAATGCTGCAGGTTAGCCAAAGAGCAGCTACTTCTGACAGCAAACACTGGAGTGAGAGCCAAAAGTTTGTGACCAATTTATAACTCCCTTTGGCTACATGCAAGGAAATAACAGTTTTTATCCTCCCTGACTTTTGAGTTCTTTCCATGAGATTTTTGACACAAGCCCAGAGTTTCCCACTGAGGGCAAGTACATTCCCGACCTGGTCTAGTTTTTTCTTGGCTGTAGGTGAGCTGTATTTATTTATTTATTTGTTTATTTATTTATTTGAGATGGAGTCTCGCTCGCTCTTGTCGCCTAGGCTGGAGTGCAGTGGTACGATCTTGGCTCACTGCAACCTCCGCCTTCCGGGTTCAAGCGATTGTCCTGCCTCAGCCTCTGGAGTAGCTGGGATTACAGGTGCCCGCCACCATGCCTGGCTAATTTTTGTACTTTTAGTATAAGAGACAGGGTTTCACCATGTTAGCCAGGATGGTCTCGAACTCCTGATCTGAGGTGATCTGCCCGCTTTGGCCTCCCAAAGTGCTGGGATTACAGATGTGAGTCACTGCACCGGGCGGTGACCTGTATTTAAACTAAATTTTACACATGTTGCTTCATATAAAATGACAACTCCCCCAACTTCATTTCATACCTCCATGACCTTTATCAACAAACATATAGTTTTCTCTAGGTGTGCTATGTTGGAGGTAGCCCAGGGAGACTGTGTGTGCTACGCCTGTATTGAGTGAGGAGGGTAGGGGAGCCAGGGATGGGGCTAGGGGAGGCCAGGTCATCTGTATCATAAATAGAATTTGGTTAAATTCATTGTATCAAGGGGTTGTTAATTGAAAGGAGTAGTCCCACTTTTATTTGTAGCTTCTGAAATAAATGTCTTAGACACTTGCTTGAGAGGACCTACTTTTTTGGATGTAAGGACAGGCTTAGTGTTGAGAGATTTTTGCCCACCCTCTTTTGAGCGTTTGCTACAAAGTCAGCATCTATCTTCCTGATTCCTAAAAAGCCTTGCTCATGAAGAATATTTCCTTGTTTAGTGGAAAGCCTGAAATTCAGGGAAGGTTGGAGACTGAGAGGACCCTTCACCCTCTTCTGTGTCTTCAAGTCAGGGGAGCCACAGCACGGCAGATTCGCCTTGGGGCCAGTCTCGGCTCTTGCTAAACTAGTAGTTCCTCAATTTACGTGAGAGCATTCTGTGATCAAGCAATGTGTTTTCTTTTTAGATATGAACCAATTTCAGTAAAACTGGAGCACACCCCTTGGCTACCTGGGGGTACAGGGGCACTGGCCTGAAATTGCTTGAAGAGTTGCAGTTCGTGGCTTTCATGTGTTCAGGGACTAGGCACTGGTTGGTCTGTTCTGCTTCCATCTTCTCCACTTGGTAAGCAGTGCCAGCTTGGGAGACCTGTGGCCAGTCAGCTGTTTTTGAATGATAATGCACCTCCCCAGAGAGTGCAGACAAGGCTCTGCACACTGCAGATTAAGAGCCCATCCTGGATCCTGATAAGGAGTTCTGGGTGGGGGAGTCCTTGGTGCTGCAACAAACAAGTCCCAGGAGGAAGAAACCCACTTCTGTAGGCCTGACTCCTGTAAGGAGCCTTTGGTAAGGAAGGTGAGGACTCAGGTGTCCTGGCCCAACAAAGATTGGTGCAACAGAAAGAGTTCTGGACTGCGAGGAAGAATGTATGGGTTGTGGTCCTGGTACTTCCTACCTAGCTGTGTGAGTTTGGACAAGTTCTTCAGCTTTTCTGTCTAAAAAATTAGGGGGTTGGCTGGGTGCAGTGGCTCATGCCTGTAATCCCAGCAGTTTGGGAGGCCGAGGCGGATGGATCACTTGAGGCTAAGAGTTCAAGACCAGCCTGGCCAACATGGCGAAACCCCATCTCTACTCTAAATACAAAAATTAGTCAGGTGTGGTGGCGTGTGCCTGTAGTCTCAGCTACTCAGGAGGCTGAGGCAGGAGAATCACTTGAACCTGGGAGGCAGAGGTTGCAGTAGCCGAGATTGAGTCACTGCACTCCAGCCTGGGCGACAAAGCAAGACTCTATCTCAAAAAAAAAAAAAAAAAAAAAAGCTGGGAGCGGTGGCTTACGCTTGTAATCTCAGCATTTTGGGAGGCCAAGGCAGGCGAATCACAAGGTCAGGAGTTCGAGACCAGCCTGGCCAATATGGTGAAACCCCGTCTCTACTAAAAATACAAAAAGTTAGCTGAGTATAGTGGCAGGCACCTGTAATTCCAGCTACTTGGGAGGCTGAGGCAGGAGAATTGCTTGAACCTGGAAGGCCGAGGTTGCAGTGAGCTGAGATTGCACCACTGTACTCAATCCAGCCTGGGCAACAGAGTCATACTCCGTCTAAAAAAAAAAAAATTAGAGCTTTGGATTAAATGACCTATGTTCTTTTCTTTGGCTATTTATTTATTTATTTATTTAGACAAGGTTTCACTCTGTTGCCCAGGCTGGAGTACAGTGGTATGATCACAGCTCACTGCATCCTCCATCTTCTAGTCTCAGGTGATACCCCTGCCTCAGCTTCCCGAGTAGCTGGGACTACAGGTGTGGGCTAATTTTTTGTTATTTTTTTTTTAGAGATGGGGTCTTGCTATATTGCCCGGGCCAGTCTCAAACTCCTGGCCTCAAGCAATCCTGTCTCAGCTTCCCAAACTGCTGGGATTACGGTTCTCACCCAGTCTTTTTCAGCTTTTGATTCTAAATCATCCCTTCCCGTTATACTGCCAATCACTGGGGGGCAAATTAGCATCATTATTGTTATTACTATCAGTTAGTTGAACTGAAAGGTAATTTGGGCTGGGAAGTACAGTAATTAATAACTTTTTGCTTGGGTCAGACTCTTGCCTGATAAGGTTTCAGTTTGCAAACACCGTGAAGCAGTACTACAAAGAGGTTAGGAGCTCAGGCTCTGGTGTTAGGCTGCCTAGGGAGGTTTAATCTCAGCTGTACCACCCACCTATCCACTGTGCAACCTGGTGGCTAGTGACTTCAACCAGGCCTCAATTTCCCCGAATATAACCCACTTCAAAATGTTGTTACGAAGATTAAATGAGATCCATAAGCTACTTATAATTGTCCTGGCACATTTAAGTACTCAACAAAAAGAGAATACTTGTTCTTTCTTTTTTTTTTTGAAACAGAGTTTCATTCTTGTTGCCCAGGCTGGAGTGCAATGGAATGATCTCCAGTCACTGCAACCTCTGCCACCTTGGTTCAAGAGATTCTCCTGCCTCACATGGGCAAGGACTTCATGACTAAAACACCAAAAGCAATGGCAACAAAAGCCAAACTTGACAAATGGGATCTAATTAAACTAAAGAGCTTCTGCACAGTGAAAGAAACTACCATCAGAGTGAACAGGCAACCTACAGAATGGGAGAAGAGTTTTGCAATCTACCCATCTGACAAAGGGCTAATATCCAGAATCTACAAAGAACTTAAACAAATTTGCAAGAAAAAATCAACCCCATTAAAAAGTGGGCAAAGGATATGAACAGACACTTCTCAAAAGAAGACATTTATGCAGCCAACAGACACATGAAAAAATGCTCATCATCACTGGTCA